GCGCAAATGTTACGTCGGCTGACACAGATCATCGACGTAAGTTCTCGTCACACTGACAGTGCTCCAACTTCTCATGCGAGCCATTTCCCCAATGCAGCATGCGACCCATCAGCCTCGTACCACCTACTCAAACGATGCCGCAAACACCGCGCCGGTTAATCGAACGCAAGAACACGCGCCTCCGCTGTCAGCCCGTCAGCCTTGTGCTACATAGCGAACACTGGGGTCCATATCTAGAGCCGAGGAGAACAGAACGCAACGGGTTCTTGGACATTGCGCAAACGGACGCTTGATACGTCACATCGTAGTCACAGCTTGTGGTTCGAGTCAAATTCCCAGACTACTGGAAGCACGCATATAGCTGGAGATCTCAAGTGATGAAGCAGCTGCCATAACGTGCACTCTGGATTGAGTCTCGCGTACGCTTTCCAGCGATCACAATGTGGAACGCGGATTGAAACCCAGTAACAGAGGTTCAGGTATGCTATTCCACTAAACATATAACTCCACAGCATTGAGTGCGAAATAGCAAGTCTATGCATTGCAGTAACATCTATTGACATCGGCAGTTCCATATATTGAGTATTCCCTTCTTACACATCGTTCAGACCAGATAACTAGACTGTAGAGGTCTCGTGCTTAGTAGTGAGGTTCTCGAGAGGAATCTCGATATGCTTGTCAGCGAGGTTCATGTCGCCAGCGAAGGTGCTGTGGGGCTTCCAGTTACGGGAGGTGCGAGGGGTGCTCTCCTCCAACATCTTGTCGACTTGCTCAAGCGTAAGACCCTTAGTTTCCGGAACAAAGAAGTAGGCGAAAAGGACTGTTTATGGATTAGCAAAAGGCTCCATGTGGCTGCAAGGAAAATGGAAAACTTACATGAAACGCAGCAGAGCGAGCCCCACAGGAAGAAGACATTTGATCCCATACGAGCGGAATCATCGCGGTCAGCAACAAGGTAAGGCGTGATGATGCCGATAATGCAGTTCCAGAACCAGTTGCTAGCCGTGGACAGACCGACGCCACGAGATCGAATAGTCAAAGGAAAGATTTCGCCGATCACAATCCAGGCGCACGGTCCCCATGTGGTAGCGAAGACGGAGATGTTCAGGCAAATGAATGCGATCATGGCTCTGGTAGCATTCGGGTTGGCAGGATGGTCAGCAGTGTTTCTACCAGCGGTGGCTCCGATAGCTCCGACGATGAACTGCATGATGACCATGCCAGCAGCTCCAAAAACCAGGAGAGGGCGTCTGCCAATCTTCTCGACCATGACGAACGAGGCCGGGGTGGACAGCACGTTGACAAGAGTTGTGACGAGAGAGATGAGGAAAGGGTTGCTGATGGAGCCGAGTTGCTGGAAGAAGACTGGGCCGAAGTAAAAGATGAAGTTGATACCAGTCAGCTGCTGCATAGCCTGCATGAAGATGCCAATCGTAGTGCGACGGGCGTTGGACGAGGGCTGAGAGAGCTTTCCCTTGAAGCAAGCCATCCATGAACCGAGATAGCTACCCTGGGGAACAACGGACATTTCGTATTCGTGATTAGCAAGAATCTCAGCTAGTTCATCCTGGATATATTCGGAGTCAAGAGGTTGGCCACGGACACGGCCAAGTGCGGCGGCAGCCTTATCGAGCTTGCCCTTCTTGACCCAGTAACGAGGGGACTCAGGGAGGAGAGCGAGACCGATGGCGAGAATGATAGCCCACAGGAACTGTACAGCGATTGGAATTCGATAGGAGCCAGTATCGCGTCTGTTCTGAGTGGCATATACAACGCAGTTGGCGAGTAAGATACCGATGGTAATGCAGAACTGGTAGCCTATCAAAGTCAGGATGTATACATGCAGGCCATGTGGATAGTACTTACCAGCGACTACAGCACCGCGGACCTTCTTGGGTGCGATCTCAGACATATAGAGAATGACAATGGATGAGATGAAACCCACACCGAAACCGGCGATAAGTCGACCAGCAACCATGACACCAAGCCCGGTAGAGGCTGTCTCAAGGATACCTCCGACAATGAAGATACCACATCCCATGATGATTGTGAAACGACGTCCGATAAAGTCAGCAATATCACCAGCCATGATGGCGCCGAAGAAGGTACTGTGTTCTGTTAGTATTCACTGGTAACACTATTGGTCTTTTCTCACATACCCGGCAGAGAGGATGGATGTGACGAGCGACTGCTGCCATGGTACGACCACGAATGTAGAGTTGCGATAGTCTTTGATGGTCTGGCTGGTGGAGTCAAGGCCCGGATATACGACGTCGGGGTATTCAGCTCCAGTGTATTGCTTTATGAAGTAGTCCATGTTGAGGACTCCACCCATCCAGCCAGTGTCATATCCAAAGAATATTCCTCCGAACGCAGCGAATGCGACGATCAGATAGGCTCGAACGGTGACAGGAGCCTCGACCCGGTTCAGGTCATGCGTCCCAGTGAGGGTAACACCACCTCCTGGCATTGTCGCTAATTATTCCAAGATTGCTGGAACAAGAGGTAATTATGATGAAAGGCGCTTTGCGCAGCGTTGAGGAAGCAGAAGTTGGAGAAGGCTGCGGGCGCAATCGACAGTGGGATACCCCAGTTTTTAATATCGCATCCTGAACAGCGGTGATGCTGCAGTGTGGTGCGTGTGTGGCTTTCTATGGTAGCATTGCAATTTCTTACACTAGGCCTGACCAGGTGACTACTCCGCACTTGACACTTCTGGAAGGATTGGTACCATTCTTCATGGGCCGTTGGTATGTGCCAACGGCTAGCGAGAATGTGTATGTCCGCATGTACTGTTGGCATGCGACCGTGTGACCTGTCATCGATCAGCCCACGCTATTGCAGAATTTCCACAAAGACAGCTGCGCTTAAGCTCTAGACAACTATCGATCCGATGTAGACGACCGGATATGTCGCTAGTTCAGGCAGTACAACAGTTGACCCCGGATATAGATCGCCTGGTAGAGACGCCAAAACCTGGGGGCCAAGCTCACTCAAGCTCGCTTTGAAGCCCGTCTTGGCGGTCAAGCCCTGCATATTCATCCCAGTAGACGCTGGCTATCACTTACATGGGGAAGGGACAGGGTGCGAAATGCATGTGAATGGCACTAGTGGACGCTTCTTCAGCCAAGAGCTCTCATCGTTCCATCGATCTGGGGTAATGTTTGGTGCCCGATATACCCTGTTGATCTCCACAAACAGTACGAGCGATACACGATTATGTACATCGAATCAACTTGTCCTTGTGATGGCTGTGGTTTGTCGGCGAAGCCATTGCGCGTCGACACCTGATCGTCTCTTTATTCTTTGTCCAACAGGCGGCGATCTACAGTATATCGCTTACGCGACTCCGGGCATGTTAATGTCCATCACAGACGTTTTGGTAAGTATCCGGGCGTAGCAGACGTGTGCCGCTTCAACGGTCAACCCTTGTGCTGGGCCGAGAACATCCTCGAGCATATGTATGAGCATGTTGATTCGTTCGCGTAGACGAAGGAAGGGTAACGATTCGAAGGTCACCAATGAACAGGACGTGCCCGAAAGTTGGTGTGCCTCGTACATATTGCATGCCTGTCTTGTCGCCCATAGGTAGGTCAGCTCTCGGAACATCAAAGGCAACTGAAGGATCACGCTCACTCCCCAAGTGTGTTTATCCAGGAGATTGGGATAATTAGAGATACTAGTGGCGCCTCTCCCTTTGTCATCACCTTACCGTTTTGCTAGCCACACCCGTGCGGCGGATCTGGAGAACCCTGTCGCAGGTAAGCAGCCACAGACTGTAGAGACCGGAGAGGAAATGAGCGAATAAGCAAAGAACGGCCGGTATCCCTCAGGCGTGCTATCGGATACCTTCCTAAATAACATCGCAGTGGCACCCCGCTCTCGAAGGCGTTCATGGATCCCGTGAAGCGATGCTACTTTGCGACGCCTCCTGGTATCACCCAACAACGGATGCCACCAATCGTCCCGCGAGCCACTAGCACCATCAAACGCTTTACGTCTATTCCATGACCAGAGATGACTTGAAAGTTGGGCGATTCGGAGTGGAGACGGGTGGGCAACGGTCCAACGAGAAGCAACGGCGGACGGGCTTCTCGACAACGGCGCGCTGTGCCGGGCAGGTGGTGTGCATAGACTATGCGCATGTCGAGTTGCGAAGGACGGCGTGCATGCGGGCTATGCACGTGGATGTGCTTCTCATATGAATGTACCCGGAAGCAGGTATCCTTGAATCGCTTTTCTGCCTCCGCGGGCACTTCAGTCAAAGGTCGAGCAGCTCCTGCGCGCAACTATTCCTAGCGCCAACTAGCGTGGTGGGCCTGATTCTGCGGGGCGTACCTCGATCCTACTCCTATGTACAAGCCAACAAGCATTGAAGACTCACTGTACGCGGTAACAAGCATCATAACGAGATCAGTAAGAGAGTCATAGAGAGTTTGTCATAACTGCAAATCCCGTTCACCTAGCCGGTCCTCATGTGCCCATGGAAGTGTCGCGTAAACCGCGCCGTACGTGTTGCATGCAGCACTTTGAGAAACATCACGAAACAAACGCCATGCGCGTCCCGGGCCAGCATCTCGACGCTTCACATGGGAGATATCATCGACCGCAGCGCTCGGCAAAGTTTTTCGAACACGGTCTTGTCGTATGCTCCTCTCATTACTCCCCACGGGCTCAGCATGACCGTTGTGCCCAGGTGGAAACCCGCCTACACTCGAGTGCAACGACAACTTCATTAAGAACAGCAGGTACAGTGAACAGCTTGCATCAAACTTATTGTGTTTTACGCGTTTCTACGTATCGATTTACGCATAACCACGGTACAGCACCATTTGGAACTGGAGGGTTGGGAAATTCCACTCTGCGAAGTATGACCTTTGCGATCTCCTCGGGATTAGCACATCAGTGACTATTACAAATGATCGTGTCCTTTGCGTATAGAATCGAGCTATCCTTCAGACTTCTGCCCTCTGTAGACGATAGTAGCGTGCTTAGTCTCCCTATGACTTCTCCAAATACGCAGCAATACCCTTCTCATCTGTGATGTTTCCAATGTTTGCGGAAACGACCTTGTAACGGTCACTTACGGATTTTCCTAGGTCTTTTCGCATATCCTTATGGATCTGGTCGAAATTCTCGAAGATGGTGGACATGGATAATGCTGTCCATAGATCCACGAGTAAACATCTAGCGAGACTGCTCGAGGGTGTGCCGTTGTACACCATGTTGACTGTTTGCACAGTCGGGACTTGCCATTTCCCGTTCCGTCCTGTCAATTTGGTGGTGGCCAGTGCAGCTTCCATCATAGCGTTTTTGGTCGAAAGGTCTTGAAGTTTCTCGCCCAAAACGAAAACGCGGAGAACAGAGTGGTACTGTTTTGTAACAAAATTGCTGAAGTCATCCGCTGTGAGCTTCTTCAGCTCTTCATCAGTCTCGGTTGCAATAGGCAGCTGTCCCGTATAGAGGTGATTCAGATAGAGGGCGAAAGTGTCCGGTTCATCGTCGGGGAAACTGATGATCCTTGTGTCTGCCTCCTGCCAGTTGCCATTCATGGCGCGCCGGAAGAACTCCGAACGGGAAATGAGAAAGGTCTCGTGCGCGGTGAACTCCTCGGTGTCCGGTGCCTTCCCAACGCGTATGGTGACTGTCGAGGTAGACTTGAAGCTACGGTTATGATGTCAGTCTCGCAATCGCTTGCAGAATGCCCCGCCGGTGTTGCCATCTTACCTCATGGTGCTTGACTTCCTGCCTTGAGCAGTCTTCGGGCTCGACATGACGATGCGATCCACGCCAGGTGGTGTTGGTGGTGGTGTGTAGCTTAGGAGTAAGACGTCGAAGATTGGACTGAAAGATCTATAAATCTGTGGTCTGTGCGCGATGCCAAAGTGAAGGTGAAAGTGAGAGCCTAGGTAGGAGAGGGCGGCAGGCAGGCGTCAACGAGCAACCAGTTTCCACGGGCCCAGCATCGACTGCGTGTCTAGGAGACTATGATAGGTCGTGGCTGGGGTGGTACGGTACCCGCTTTGAAGTGTACATATCATCTTATACCACACCCATATCGGAGACTAATTTCACCAGTAGTGTTCCTTTCCGCAGACGATATGTCCTCAAAATCATTTGATGCCTCCGACAAGCGGCCATGCAGCAATATCTTCGTCTCCGCCGAATCCAAAGCCGATAATCTCGCAATGGCAGGTGTGATGTGCTCTTTCTCGATTGCTCAACGCGCGTGCAGGCTACAAACCGCGTTCGTCTAGTTGTAAGAAAGCATGCGTCGACATTTGTAAACCGGTGTAATGGCAGATAAGAGGTACAGAGATGCGCTCCCTTAACGGATTCTAATGGAAGTGATGGCTGGGACAATACGCGTGTTCACTTTTTCCGAGAGCTGGCCTAGTGAATGTCGTGAAGGCGTTCGAAGTAGCTCGTCTTCCTTTCTAAGATGCTCGTAGTAATCTCACCGGTACCCTCGGAAACATGTGAGACACGACCGGAGCTCTTTTGGAGCGGCGCAGGAAGCTGCAAGTCGGCGTTCCTGTAGAATGTGCCCGGTAGCCGGCACCCGGAAGGGATGAGAAGATCGGGCAGAGCCGGTTATCTTATCAGAGACCCACATACCCCTCACATGACTCGCAACATTCACGCGTCAGATCAAAACAACGCGTCACATTCACCAAGTTCAGAGACGCGTAACGTTTGAAGTATGTGTTGATTTCAATTGCTTGAGACGATAGCATCACGTCGTTAGCTAGCCTCCCATAACGCCAGATTGCGACGCTGAAGAGAACAATGACAGTAGAGTAGACATCCATCCGCAGTGACAGACACGCGCCAGAACGCCCGGCCAACATGATATATCCCAGGTAAGAAAATCAGGGACGAACACCGTAGGCCTGCCTCGCCATATCCGCCGGTGGCCGAACCACGCCCACCTGTAAAACCCATAGACTAGTAGTGTGACAAAGGGAATACGTGAAGAAGATGTCGTCTAGCGTACGCTCCGAAGCTAACGCACGGTAGCATGGTAAAATGAAAAAGGTCAACAAGAACAAGGAAGCTTAAGCTGAAACAGCTCATGCCTTGGCCTTTGGTGTTGCCTTCTTGGGCGTCGCCTTCTTCTTGGGTGTGGTCGCCTTCTTCGCTGCGGCGGTCTTCTTTGCTGCTGGTGCCTTCTTGGTTGCCTTGGTTGCGGCGGCGGGAGCCTTGGTCTTGGTGACGCGGCCAGACTTGGTCTTTCCTAGCACGCGCGATACCTCCTCCTCGACGGCGGGGGCTGCGGTGGGGGCAGTCTTGCGGGGTTTGCTGGCGTTGGCCTTGGGCTTAGCGGCAGGGGCAGCTTTGGTAGCAGCAGTTGTGGCAGTGGCCTTCTTCGGGCGACCGACAGCCTTCTTGGGAGCAGCAGCCTTGGTGGTGGTGGCCTTGGCCTTCTGTAGAGGAAGTCAGACATGTAGGCTCATGACAGCAGGCAGATACTTACAGTGGTCGTGGCCTTCTTGGTGGCGGGGGCCTTCTTCTCAGTAGTCTTCTTCTCGACGGTCTTCTTCTCAGTGACCTTCTTCTCGGCCTTGGTCTCAGACTTCTTGGTAGCGGTGGCAGCGGCAGGCTTGGCCTCCTTCTTCGCAAGCTTTACTGGTCCAGATGTGCCTACATGACGCGTCAGTAAGGTTCAGATGGCTCATGACACGTGCGTGTAGGGTACACAGCAGCGACGTGTTGAAGACGTGTTGTCGCGCAGACTTGGTGGAGAGACACTTACCCTTGGGACGCGCAAAGTCACCCTTCTCCTCGCCGGAAGTAATAGCACGGTTGACGTGACTCCTGAAGGCAGCATCGCTAAGGTTGCCGACCTTGTTGTTGGCTTGGATGTACTTCTGGATAGCTTGACGGCTGTTGGCGCAAAGTCAGCGTGAGTTCTGAGGTACGCGCCCTTTCAGACGAAAGCATGCCGCGACACATGAGCGACGGCATGTGGGGATTAATTTTACTAACCTTGATCCATTTCGTTCCTTAAGCTGTAGCATGCATAGAGCTCGTCAGTAATCATGTTCACTTGAGGGAGTAATGTCATGGAGCGTTATTGTGATTTGCGCTGAAGTTGGCGTTGCGAGCTGTCGCAAGCTGTCGCAAACTCATATGCAAGGCAACACGCCTGGGATAGACTCACGTTGATGATAGCATCCTTAACCATGTCTAAAAGAGTCAGCATTGACCGGCGACAAAGACGCGACTATCGGGCAACCGACGCGACCGCGTTGGGCTGAGATATCATAGTACATACCGATGTAGGAGCCATGGGCAGGTGCGGCAGCGGCGGCCTTGGCCTTGGAAGGGGTGGTGTTCTTCTTGGGAGGCATTGCTGCTAGTGGTTTGGATGGGAAGATAGACGCGTTACTGATGCTTCGAACGAGAGGGCGAACGTGAAAATCGATGGAACGATAGTGGTGGTGGGAAGTCTGGAAGTCGCTGAGTTGGGGCAAGCACGCGGCGGGTGGGGTATGCGCCGTTCTTATACTTTTCAGGGATCAGAATCGGCGCCCCCAGATCACCAACTCGAAGGCGCTAATCTTCCAGGCCTGATCAAGATGCGCTTCAGTTTGATCTCATGTTGCAATACTGCCGCCTACGCTGACTAGGCGCCGTGCGGCTGCTGTCCGTTCGATTTGTTGGGGGTCTTTCCTGTCTCCCTGCTGGAAGCGCAGCCCTTCACCCCATCTCCTCTCCTTCGAGTCGCTCTTTTCAACTTGGTGACGCTTGACCATGGCCAACGCATGCCAGGAGCCTTACCACAGGCACCTTTGGCCTCGAGCTTCAGTCGTGCCAGTAGTCTCTGCTTGTTGTTTCGTCTGAGTCATCTCTGTCAATCCACGATAGCTGCAGCTTGCGTCTTGAAGGAATCGATTTTGCGCAAGCTTCCGCTCGAATCCTCGAAGCCTATTGACGAGACGCGTTGCTACATGCTTACTGTTTGCTTTTTCTCTATGCCAGTCTTGTACTCGATGGAATGCTCCATTATTTATGTTGGCTTGATAGGCTCTCGGGACTCGAGTCTAGTCTTGATGGTTGTGGTTTTGGCGATACATGCGTCGCGTCATCTACCTTCCATGGTGTTTCGCTCTGCGCGCCGACACCTCGAACACGACCCGCCTCCACGCGTACAAATTGGCAAAGCAAAAACATCCTCCTTGTTTTTGGGTATTGCGCAACGCATACATAGATTTTCAGAGCATTCCCTCGAGCGTGTCGGCCAGCATGGTGTTGAATTGATGACGTGTTGCAGTGTGTCAGGCGGGGTGATCACGCGTACAATTCTATCGCTACAATCCTCTTCCGCACAACCTCTGTTGTTAAAGCATAATTGAGTGCCTTAAGAACCCAAAGCGCATACCCAAAGGCTCATTTTCTGAGTAGCGGATCCATCCAACCTATATACAATGCGTTGTGGTTGGCATGCGAACGCGGCGTTGTTTCGCGGCTCTTGGCCGGACAGTGTGGGACAGCCCATCACTGATTGCCAGCAGCCAACATACGGAAAGCCGACATTAGCCACTTGTAGGAGATAGCCTAGGGCAGACGTGAACTGATGTTTAGTATAAGCTCATATCTATATATCTGGTCTTCCGAGTATCCTACAATGCGCGGATGTCTTACCTGGGCACGCTGCATGATCCTGCTAGTAGAGAAATTACCTACAATAACTTCTACGACTAGGGCCGGTTCTTGTGCTCCTACAAATTCATCTCTCATATTAAAGGACATAGCTCTCATCCACACTACTCTGTAGTTGTTGGGGAGTTTGGGTTGGTATGGCCATCGGGTTTTTGAGTGTTCTAATGTTGTGTTCGGGTCGTGGGATATTGCAGCACTAAAACCGCCCATGATAGAAATTCAAAAAATCTTAACGCCATCACTTGCGCCATGATAGCCAAAAGATACTTAGAAAACCAAATCACCACAGCGACAGAATAACATTGTCTTTTCCACAGGTTGTAGGAGGCTACCTAAGTAGTTCTGAATATACCAAAAGAGTGGACTTGTGCACACCTTCTTTGGAGATGCCAGCATTATACCTACAACCCCAGCGCAGTCAAACTACACTGACAAGCCTTACACGAAGAAAACGGCAATATGAGAAGGGACATTGGAAGGATAGAGCTTAGTACGCAGAATCATGTACATCACACGACATTCAATACCTAGGTATGTCGGAGCCATCGAGAGGCTAACATTAACCACCATTCCGGGTAGTGATGCATTACTATGTCGGAACACAAGGCTTATAGTCAATTCACGAGAAACACAGTGAAATAGAAGGAGCGTACACAGCAACATCGCGAGGAAGTTCGAGCCGTATTGAAGCGAGCCGTCTGCTTCGATGTTACTTTCGTTACTGTCGGGAAGAGCGAAACGAACAGCCGTTTGCCGCGTACAGCGAGGCCGTGAAGACATAATATAGGGACGTAAGAAGGAGATTCGTCGAGCACAAAAGTCGCGGACGTAAAAGGGTGGTGTGGGACGCGCTCGATATCGTGTTGTTTGGGCTGGTTCGTCTCGGAATCCGCGGGCAGATAGGTTGACGTCTTTGACGCGGAAAGTGATGTGGCAATAGTCTAGATGCGCATCTTGATAAATGAACACGAAGTTCAGTAATTGCCTCATCACTCCGGATTTGTGGGGTACGACCTGTGCTCTTGTTTGAGAGCGATGCTCACCTTTGTGCCCTATGTGCCATCTCAGTATTAGGTACGCTTGTGAGTCTGATGTGCAGCTCTCGCCA